TATTTTTGACACGACAAAGAATTGCCGTTTTATAATAAAAATTTTAGAGGTTACTATTAGATATTTCGTAATAAACATGTAGCTCTGCTATATTAAAAATATTTTGTGGTGTGTTGTTGCATAATCGACTAATTTCCAAGCATCGGATGGACCATGCCCTAGACACTCAATGGTAATTTTATGGAACTACAAATTTAGTTTCTTCCGCATCGCCAGACGGCGCAAAAGACATTAAAGTACAGATTTCTAATTTATATATGAAGATGACATGACAGCCTCTATATTTACTACCATCTATGGTCTAGTTTTGGTCTAGTTGTCACTTAGTTGTCAAAATGTTGGTGATCCGTCAAGTTATTTTAAAAAATTATTAATTCAGATATTCCTGATTTGCCAGAAAGTTCGGTGATTTGTGTTTATAGTTTGTGTTTTTATTAGTTTGTGCATTTTGATATTTACAATCGACCATCATTTTCGTGTGAGATAATAAACTTTTTTTAGCAAAGACCTTTTAGACAGCTTAGATGAATAATACATTTGTGAACGAAATAAAAAAAATGTTTAATCATAAATAAGTAAGTACATAGTTGGTAATATAGTACTTTAAGAATTAGTAGTCTATAATATTTTTATTCTAATATTATAATTTATACCAGACCAAATCAAAAAAATAGGCGCTATGTACTCTATGTTGGTGTTTAAAATGTATGTATTCATAATTTTATTTTTAGTTTTGAATATGTTATACTTCTAATGATCTAATAAAACATAAAATATAGTAAACGAGTCTCTATTTATTATTTTATATTTTACAAGGAATAATTTTGCGCTTGAATAACGTTACCGTTTTAGTTAGCGTTAATAAGTAACGGAACGGTAAAATTATGTTATGCCAAAACTCCCCATTAGTTTCTTCCGGATCGCCAGGTGGCTCTAAATGACGGACTTATTTGTTTTATATCAGTGTCCAATCTATCTCTAGTACGTGACATTAGTCTATGGAATGGACGAAAGAAGGAAGCGAAGAGACGAAGTAAAGCGAGGAAGTAAGGCGAGGAAGTAACGCGAGGAAGTAACGCGAGGAAGGGACGAAGGAGCGAAGTGTGAGTATGGGGCTTAAGAAGTCAAATAATTTAGCTACAAATTTCTTAAAAAATAATCAAAATAGATCCACTTGAACACTATATATTTTAAGGTGCCCGTTTTTCGTGCCGGTGAGTGTACTAGGTATATTAAAAGCAGTAGTTTTTATTAGTATTGCCTTAACACACTCAATATATTCTGTTTATCCTATCCGGAATGCCCTTATGTTTTCGTTACGATGATAGATCGGACCAGGTATGTCGACAATGCGAACGCCTTCAAAGGTCGCAAAACAAAAATTAATTATTTATGAGGCGGCTACGGTTGGTCTTGCCCTGTGTGTGCGTAGGTGTCATTCCATAGAGTACGCTAGGCAGGCCATTCTTTGAACCACGGCGCTGCCGCTATACAGAAATCCTAACAATCTCAATTAGAATTATCACGTATCGTTAGCTGGTGATTAATAAACTATCGCGTACCGATTAATTAGTAGCGATTGATAGTAAATTAAGAGCTTAAAAGGAGAATAAATTAATTCAATGGTATAATGAATGAATGAATTTATTGTTTCTAGTAGATTAGGATTTGTGAGGTGGCCATTGGCCTATTTCACTGCGACCTTTTCAGATTTATTGTGGATATTTGATTTCTAGATTATACCAGGGTGTCAAAAAAATAGTGAATCTAACTCTGATTCTACGGATAAAAATAAAACAAAAAGTTTCTATGAACATATGCCCTGAAATGCTTTTCGAAGGAATTACAGCCCTTGAAAGGGTAAATAAAAAAATTGGCGCCGGGAGGCACGCCTTTACTAAAATATGTTAATAAAAAGTTGGTAGGCACTTCTTTTAGTTTCAAAGTAAAGGAATTTTCCACTGCGACTTTGACTGATTTTGATGTTATTACAAATTTTGTTGCGAATAGTATTCCTAATCTTAAATTGAAAACCGCGTTTTGCTAGCAACTGTAATTTTGGACGATTTTTTTTTAATTTTTAACCCCCTGCAATAACCCCTTACCAACCCCCCACCCCCACCAAAAACTATAATGGCCAGATTCTCGGGTGCCAGAGTATTTTTGTGCCAAATCTGGTTAAAATCGGTTTAGCGCATAGATAAATGCAACAAGTTTAGATTGGAAAGCCCGTAAAAATTTTAGGTCGCGAAATTATTTTGGGTCGCGACCGTTATACGCGATCTGGCGCTGCTATAGCGGTCGCTAAGGAAAACGGCAAATAAAAACAGAAATAATTTTCTCTTGTCAAAGTCAGAATCTTCAAAAATCATAATAATCTTTCAAAATCTAAACCGCTCTCATTAAAGAAATTCCAAAAAGTGTTTATAGCGTCCATTTTCAAAGTAATTATTGCTATCTTGTGAGTTTAATTCAAGTTTTATTTACTCCAACCGGTGATAATTGGGAAAAAGTGGCATTAAAAACTTAAAAAGCTGTGGTGTGAACTGTGAACTGCAAAAACCATCGTGGATCGTGGCATAACGTCGGTTTCCAATGTTTTATAGGTATTTCATACATGCGTCCTTATATAAAATAAAGGTTCTTGTATGCAACACACTGTATTTTATTTATAAAATTAAACGAAAATAATAATAAATTTGAATAAACAATATTTGGCGATATAATTCCGGAAAAAGCCGAACCGCTCCGTAATTTTCAAAAGTTTTGGGTCGCGACCGTTGCAAGAATAGCGCCAAATAGTGTTTACATTATCCTTATGGTCACTTTCCAATCTAAACTTGTTTCATTTATCTATGGTTTAGCGGTTTTTCAGTTATCGTGTTACAGACAGACAGAGAGACACCATGAAAATATTTTGTATTTAGGTCATTTATGACCCAAATAACTCATTTTGAGTGAAATTAAAAAACTTTTTTTTTGCCGATCTAATAATATATTTTGTATATTTTTAAAAACATTGGTAAACCGTTTTTCCTGCAAAATTTGGTAGTCTTATACACATTTTAATTCCAAAGCGAATCGCGATAGTGTAAAATTCCGTAATAGCCCTGAAAGAGTACTTTCCATTATATTTTCACAAATTCTAATAATCTGTAGACTGAACCTTCCATATAGCTCTTCGACAATGGCTTATTTTTTACTAGTAAACTATCTCCACCACTACATAAATTTTAGTATAAATATTTTGCAGCTGCACCGACGACAGATTTTCTTTTCGTAAAATGGTCTCCCTAGTATTTACTACATTTTTCGTTAATACTATTGTATAATAATACGCTCAAAACTCAACCTTCACCATATTGTCAAGATTTTATTTTGGTATTACAGTAAATTAAGAAAAGAATATCAAAGTACAGGATATTAAATACTGTAATGTATACTACGACATAAACTTCATCTCCCTTCTCAAAATAGTAACTCAACATCTCCCTTCTAAATAGTAAAAGATAAAACTTAAAGCTTGTTTTAATCCTATCAACATTCTTCGATAAAATATATCCCTACAATACAATGGCTATATTGATCCACTAACTTGATATTTTTAAGAAATTATGATACAAACATTATAATCAAACTATATAGGTATTGACATGTACATACTGTGCTATATAAATAAGACTGATCTTATTCTTCGTGTGCCATTTGCTAAAGCACGTTGGAGTCATTTGTTCCATCTTCTAATCGTGCCAATGTAAGTGTGTTTTGCCTTCAGCTAGTCGAAACAATGTTCTCGCATCCAAAACTGATCATCCATACCAATCGCTGATATTACGCAGCCAAAAGTAGTAGCGTGTTTCCTTCCATGTTCTCTATGCGACCTTCATTTTTTCCTGGAATATCAATCTTGCTTGGGATGGAATACCGCTCACCCCTTAAGACTCATAGATTAAAGCATATTGGATAAGAAAAAGATACTCTCTTACCGCTTTATCAAATTTTTTCATTGTCATTTATGTGTTAAAAATTATCAAATTGAAATTTTAAATATTCTTGGACTTCGTCATAATATGCATATCTATATAATCAAAACTATTGTTGCCTGTAAATAACTAGAAACTGAACAACTTGGGTGTAATAAATGTGTCATATTGATGATGCAAAATAATTCTAATAGAAAAAATCCGCAAATGATAATTTTTAATTCTTATGTAAATATACATATAAATAAGGTATTATTTATATACTTACACCTCCGATTACAATCATAGTACAGTACCTTAACTTCACAATCTCCATTAACCTTCTTTCCATAATTTTTGATTATTAAATTATAAAATTAATCATCGAATTTGTATCATTGCTGATTGAATATTTAACATACATTTAAAATCATAAAATTAAAACAAAATTGTTTTGTACGGTCTACTGTAAACTGTAAATAATTTAAAAATAACCTGAAATTTGGCAACATCGCCGATGTGCGCTTGCGTAGTATCTGTGATTAAATGCAGCAAATATGCAAGGGCAAATATTAGGCTTCAAGATTAGCCACCAGATCCACAGTCCACAGTATCCATAGCTTACCAAAGTGGTAAGTTCAGTGATTGGTATATGATTGGTTTTGAATTTCTCTGTGAGGGTAATTTCCCCCATTACTCCTCCAATATATGCGCCCCTGCTTGGCGGGAATGAAGAGAGCTTCAACTGAATTTCCGATCATATATAAAACATTTTTGATATAGATTTATAGAAATTATAGGACCTCAACTGCTCTAAATTAAAGTTTACACTTTGGGTATACCACACTTTGAATAAGATTTAGCGGGTTTAGCTTGTATTTTTTAAAGTTTAATTGGTAATATATCCACGTCTTCGGCTTCATCATGTTCTTTTGGAGCCTTGAATAAAAGAAAACGATCATATACTAATTTATAGTCACATCTCTAACGTGGACGCACTGCAGTTGTTCTGTGGTTTATGTTTTTATCGTGGCTATCGTGGCGAAGTGACGGAAGTGACAGTTAGTGACAGATGACTAAAAGGTCATTAAATTGATCCAGTCTATTTTATAATTTTTAGAATATTTTTTAGATTTCTGGGCGATTTGGTTGATCATTTTCGTCCTGAAATAAGAAGTAAATGTAAATAAAGCAGTTACTTAAATAGATTTGTTAAAAATGGCTCGATACGGACAAAGGCCGGAGAACGCTTTAAAACGTGCTAATGGTAAGCTTTTATAGGGGCATATGGATCTTATAATCTTGTTTTTTATAAATAAAATATTTCCTGTTACGAAGATTTAATAATGTTCACATTGTATTTACAGAGTTCATTGAAGTTGGGAAACCAGCTAGAGCTCTTGATACTTTACAAGAAGTGTTTCGGAATAAGAAATGGGCTTATAATTGGTCAGAATCGGTTTTAGAGCCGATTATGTTTAAGTACCTTGATTTATGTGTAGAGCTGAAAAAGTCTCATATTGCAAAAGAAGGATTATTTCAATATCGTAATATGTTCCAATCTGTCAATGTAAGTTCATTAGAAAATGTAATAAGAGGATATTTACGAATGGCTGAAGAGAAAACTGAATCTGCACGCGAACAGTCAGCTCAAGCAGTAATTGATATAGATGATTTAGACAACTTAGCAACACCGGAAAGTATACTTTTAAGTGCTGTGTCTGGTGAAGATGCTCAAGATCGATCAGACCGCACCATATTAACTCCATGGGTTAAGTTTCTTTGGGAGTCTTATTGTCAATGTTTAGAGCTTCTTAGAACTAATGCTCATGTGGAAAATTTGTACCACGATATTGCCAGAATGGCATTTCAGTTTTGTCTGAAATATAATAGGAAAACTGAATTCAGGAAATTGTGCGATAAGCTCCGGAAACATTTGGAAGATATATGTAAGTTACCTGCCCAGGTTGCTAATGTGTCTATGTCTAAACCAGAAACGCAACAACTAAATTTAGAGACGAGGTAATTTAGTAATAATTGTAAAAGAGCAAGATTACCTCAAGTAAACCACATATTTCTTCTTTAATTGTGTAGTTTAATTAAATTTGATGATGTAAAGTATTTTTTTTAAATAAAAAAAAATCAAAAGGAACAGAGATATCTTAGTGAAATATGCTTCAAGATTTATGATTTAATATTAATATTTTGATAAAAATTCAAAACTTAAAAGTTCTCATGTATCTCATGTATTTAATTCTCCCTCCAAAAAATGTTTTAGGGTTGCTGGTTAGTTTACATTAAAATGATTGAACCTGAATTCCATTATCACTTGTGTGGTCTTGCTTAAATACCATTAATTAAATAGAAAATATTTGCTAAACTTGAGTTTTTAGGCTTCATCAATTAGATTTTGCAATTCAAATGGAATTATGGCAAGAAGCTTACAAAGCCATAGAAGATATTAACAATTTAATGAACTTATCTAAGAAAATGCCTGTTCCTAAAACTATGGCCAATTACTATCAAAAACTTGCAATGGTTTTTTGGAAAGCTGGAAATTACCTGTTCCATGCTGCAGCTCTGTTCAAATTACTGCAACTGAGCAAAGAAATGAAGAAGAATATTACTCAGGAAGAGCTACAGAGGATGGCTTGCAAGTATATAGTATTTGCTTGTCTTTTTTCCACAGTTTTGTAACTTCTTCATTTTCTAGAGTCTTACTTGCGACTTTGTCTATTCCATTGCCTTCAGCCCATCCAGAGTTTGATAGATTTATTGAAACCGATAAATCGCCTTTAGAAAAAGCACAAAGATTAGCCATACTCTTAGGTTTAATGCAACCACCTACTAGAGCAAGTCTTCTAAAGGATTTGGTAAATTTTCATGGTTTGTTTTGATATTTTATATTCGCTAATGCACTTTTTAGGTTCGTATTAACGTAATCAGCCTTGCAACACCACAACTTCAAGATTTACATAGATGGTTAGAAGTTGATTTCGATCCCTTGAACTTATGTTCACATGTTCATGGTATTATTCAACATATACAAGGAGGTAAAATTTGCTTAAATTTGTATATTAGTCATTTTGATATACTTTGGTTATTACAGATGAAGGAAATATTGCACTTCAACAATATGTCCCAGCCCTACAAGACGTTACTTTGGTTAGACTTGTAAGACAAGCTGCTCAAGTTTATCAAACAATTGAATTTTCGAGACTTTTAGAGTTGGCTAAATTTGCAACTCCATTTCATCTCGAGAGACTTTTGGTTGACGCGGTTAGGCACAATGATATGCAGGTAAGTCAATGTTTTTAATAAAAAGTAGTATAATTATTGGGAAAACTGGAAATCGTCCGATTTTCACCAAAATTGGTATAAACCCTATTTTGAGGTCGTAGATTACGAATCTGAACTTTTTTCTTGGCGGTCTCTTACCGTTTTTTCAGAAAAACGGAAAATTATTTCAACATCGAATTTTTCTTAATTTCTCATACTTTTAAGGTTTTCTAGCACATATTTTGTTAGGTATTCAATAAACAATGATGTTTTTGCTATTTTCTATTACTTTTTTAACCAATTCTATGCATAATAGAGGAAAATTTGCTAAAATAAACTTGTAAACAATCTGAAAATGTTGGGTTATGTGTTTCTGGCATTTAAAGCAACGTTGCCAATACTAAACCTAAATTTAGCGTGTTTTTTTCGCTTATTCTGGCGGTCGCCAGAAGAATGGCTCCTTCCCATAGCTGCTATTTTATCAACGAGATTTGACTATAACCACGGAGTTGCACGAAAGAGTTTTGATTGCATTGCTTACAACTTCCATGTGGAGGGTGTTAATCTTTTGTTATTATATCAAAAAAAGATTAACCCCCTCCGCATAGAAGTTGAAACCAATGCAATCAAAACTCTTCCGCGTAACTTTGTGAATAGGTAGGTATATTTAACTGTCAGATCTCATAATAGATAATTTATTTAAAATCCCTAATCACCCGAAAAAATAGAAGATATTGCAACATTGTAAATTTTCAAATTTCTAAATTAGGTCTAGAATAATATTTATCTCTCTCATTACATAGGAGAGAGAAAGAAGGATATATGAAATGTCAAACTTCCATCTGGTCTCAATTATTTTCTTTGTTATTTTGTTAAGAAAAGTGTTTTTCAGTAAAATTTTGGACATTTTTCTATCCTCAATCAAGTGTGGCTTAGATAAACTATAATATAATGAAAATGTAGTGAAATTATTACTTTATAGGGCCGAAATAAAGAAAAATTCAATGTTGAAATAAGTTTCCGTTTTTTCTGAAATACGGTAAGAGACCGCCAGGAAAAAAGTTCAGATTCGTAATCTACGACCTCAAAATAGGGTGTGTACCAATTTTGGTGAAAATCCGACGATTTCCAGTTTTCCCAATAATTACCAAAGTTTCTTTATTTTTTTTTACTTTCTTTTCTTTATTTTTTTTTATTTCTTTATTTTACCAAAGTTTCTTTATTTTTTTAGATCAGAATAGATCATGGTAAACACTGCATTCACTTTGGTATTGATTTGAGTGAAAGCCAAAGAGAAGATAAACCTGAAGGTCCAACTCTACAAGTTATGCCCAGCGAACAAGTTCGTAATCAGCTTGTTAATATGTCAAGTGTTTTGAACCAAGCTGTTAATGTTATTTATCCCAATAAGAAGAAGGTATGAATAATATTGTTTTATATTTTGTTTTTTTGCTGTTAAAGCTTTTTGTATATATCTACAGACTGAAAGGGAAAGAATTAGGAACAGCATGGTCCAAAATTACCATGAAACGAAAGTTAAAGAACACCAAAAGATTCTTCAGAGGCATAAAATTATTGAGGATAGAAAGGAATATATTGAGAGGCTCAATACGGTTCGTGAAGAGGAAGAACAAAAACGGTAAATGAAAAAATATATAGTATTTTAATAAATTCTAAATAATTTATTTGCAGTATTGAGGAAATTCAAAGGCAGCAAATGTTGGCTGAACAGAAACGCTTAGAGGAAGAGCGTCAAGAACGCGAGAGACGCCGTCACTTGAACGAAATCCAACAAATTAAAGATAGGCATCTCAAAGAGAAGTTGCACCAGGTAAGCATTTTTTAGAAATTAGAAAATTCTTAAATTGTTTGTGATTATGGTTTAATGTTGTACCTATTATCCATGAGTATTTGAAAGCATAATATTTTAGTAAAATATAGGTAAAATATTTGTTTTTTCCGGTATAATATTTACTCACATTTTATAGTTTTGCATCCATTTGAAAAAAATCTAATAGAGTAAAAAGTAAGATTTATTTTTAAGTTATATTATCTTTACTTTTGTTATTACAGAATATAAATATATTTTGTTTCATTATTTAGCATATTTCGCACCTATTGGTTGAACTAATAATTAAAAAAAAATATTTTATTTATTCTGCAACCAAATCATAACCAAATACAACTGAATACGTCAGTCAATCCTAATTTATGTCATATAATACTAATATACTTTGAATAAAAAGACTAAGGAAGGAGCATATCAAAAATCTTAGGTACACCACGATGGGCCTCAAATATGGCCGACTTAAATTCCGGTTTATCAGTGTCGTTCTAATTTTATTTAAAAAATGTAAAACTATGATGTAGGGTAGACGAGGGGTAGACTCAATAATTTGTTGTTTTATTTTACGTTGTGAATAAATGTTGGTAGTTATTAAAATTGTTATAAAAATATATAATTCTAATAAAAATAGATAAGTTATAATAAGTATTTATTAACACAAACATCCGATACGCTACTGAAGCAGGTAAGTCAAATTAACGTATCTAAATTCTTTGACATCTAATCTTTGACAAGTAATAAATAAAAGCTAAAATGCAAGAAAAATATATAATTTAGTTAATTTAAGTGAATTTCCTAAATGATCGGTTTACTACACGTATGTATATTATATAGTCACTTACTAGCGAAAAGTTGTTCCATTATTTCACTCAATTTTTGCCGAGATCTACCGCACGCTACACAACCAACTATTTTAGAGTCTTTTTTCGATAAATCGCGATAGTGTCACTGTTAATTTAAGTTCTGCCACAATTTTCATCTAGATTTACTACCTTTATACAACTATCAGTAGTAGAATAAATAATAAATAACATAAAATAAGCTCCGTAAAGACTGACAAATCCACAAAATTTCAAATCAAATTCAAATGTGTCAAATGAATCGTCAAACAGAACTGTCAAGGATCCCCACCCTAGAGAGCTTTTATGGTGGCTTTTCCGCCCACCATGCATGAATACATGGATAGCATTATGCTCCTTCCTTAGTCTTCTTATTCAAAGCTAATATACGAAATCTCGTTTTTTTATCTGAAAAACTAAAAAAGTTATAGGGGTGAGCCACGGTAGACTTAGGGCTCGAAAACACTGACGACCAGGTCGCACCGGCCAGGCCGCTGTTACATCTAAAACCATTGAATCAAATGATACGGCGCACACTAACGTCCTGGCCGTCCGTTGGTCGTTGCCAAGGGGTCGTTGCGACCAGTAAACTGCACTAAAATATTATTTTCTGCCGCTTGTTGCCGGTTTTCTTCCAAATTAATAATTTTTCAGATGAAATCCCTCAAATTCAACGCACAATATTTTATTTTATATAAGATATAGTGTTTTAGTGTAGTTTTTGCACACGTGTAGAAAATCCATAGAAATAGTATACAGACTGGATCAAAGGTAAACTTAAATCTAGTCCCTTTTTTTTATCAAGGGTCGATTCTAGTAAAAATTCCAAAAATTTTTATATGACATACCTACTCTATTTATGGTTAGTATGATTACCTGTTATTATACCTTTGAGTTTTGATGTTAAAAAATAAAAAAAAATCATATATTTATAGTTTTTCTACAACCACTTGTTTTTTTTTATTAAATTAGTTTTTTTAGTTGTATTGTAGTCATGTACAAGGAGGACAACTGTATTTTAAATATTATATTTAATTTAACGTTTTTCAAACAGGGTTCATTAGACTATATTTCTACTAGATATATTATTTAAAGAAAAAATTAAATAATATATCTAGTAGAAATGAGTAAAAGTAACTTAAACATTCATAAAAAGAGAAGTAATTACTGTTGTAGATTCTCAGTAACAATAAAAAAGAGGAATTTATATTGTAAACATTGAAATAACTGGATGCTAAACTTTCTACCTGCTTATATTTAGAGCCAGTGTCTGACGACCTTTTTTACGAATATGTTTACTTCTAACACTTCTAAAGTCAATAAGAGCCATCAGTAGAAGTCCATATCAGTAGAAAAAAAACAGAATATTTCCCTTTTTGTCGGTCGCGCGTACACAATGCTTTTTGTTCGGCCTATTTGTTCTGCTTGTTCGTGCGCGCTCGGTGCGTTCGGGCTAAAATGCTCAAGTCCGGACGCACCTTTAGGAACAATACTGTTTTTGTCCTTTATTGATGTAATGCTGAAAATCTCACGAGTTGCATGTCTCACTCTACACATATTAAATTACATAGATGTAGGATGTAGAATATTCTGTTATGAAACGACTGATGGAATAGCAGGCATCGCGGATTTGAAAAACAAGGAAATAACGACGTTATCGTGTAGTCGGGGTTGGAGATTTTACTTACTCCATTTACCACACCAGTATTTATTAACGAAAAATCATCCAAGAATATTTTAAATGCATTAATTAATATTAGAACATTTAATAAGCTCATGAATAGCAATTTCGCTTTTTAGTTAACTCGGATATTTTAACATTTCTGAAAACAATATTTTCTAATTGGTAAAACGTAAAAAATCGTTAGATCTGACAACTCTGTTGAAACTGGTCGTTCATCTGGCCGCAGCTATAAATGCAATGCATCCGGCCAGCCGACGGCCAGGTCGTTGCGACCTGGTCGTCAATGAGTTAGAGCCCTTAAGTAGTGTTTATTCATTTTGATTCCAAAAATACGCGGTACTTCTGTGAGACACCCTGTATTAATTGTTTTGGTAAATGTAATATTTCCATTATAAAGAAAAAAGTGTTTTGGATTCATATGTTTACATTGTACATTTTTTATAGATTAGTCAAACTGGCCATGGGCAGAAAATCCTTAAAAAAATGGATGAAGATGACATCAAAAAACTGGATGCCGACCAAATTGCAGCGAAAGAAGCCGAGGAATACAAAAGGAAAGACGTGAACTTCAAGCTAAATTGAAGTCACAAGAAAAGAAAGTAATGTTTATTAGTGTTTAATATTTTATCTTTTACTCAATGTTTTTTTTTTCGAAAGGTTGACTACTTTGAACGTGCTAAGCGTTTGGAAGAAATTCCATTACTTCAAGAGAGTTTGAAGGAGAGGCAGCTTCAAGATCAAAACTTCTGGGAACAACAAGAGAAAGAAAGAATAGCTGCCGCGATGGAGGAGCGCAAATTGGCCGTAGCTACGCGAGACAGATTTGCACGCATGAAAGCTGATAAAGTAAATTTACGCCTATATATTACATACCCTGTAGAATGTAGAATGAGTAAGAGGGGGGATTAATCACTGCGACCTTAAAGATCTATTGTGCCCCCCTTCATTGAGTCATCACACAGTCTATAACCCATCATACCCCTGTTCTAGAGGGGACAGGGTATTTCCCATCCTCCTCTGACAACAGTTCTTCCTCCGAGGGTACACACTCTTCCACGGTTGTAGTTTGGCCCTCCGTGCCGCCCTTCACAGTCGAGGAGCTTGCCTCCGGCTGAGGAACCTGTGAGGTGGAGGCTGGAGGATCTGTCTCTATTTTCTCTACCTCTTTAACTTGGTCTCTCCTTAAACCTGATACTGGTGTTGTCCCGTATCTGTAGTAGAGGATTTGTCCCTCTTTCTCTATTGATTGCCTTCTTGGATTTGGGGTCAATTCCTATTGTAAGGACCTGACCATGACCTTCCTCCCTCGAGTTGATGACTCGCCAATTCGATGTCCTTACATTGAAGTTCTGACCCTGGATAAGGTTCAGCAGGTAGGTGGTGTCTTTCCCCTTGCTCCTCGGCAGAAAGACCGTGATGGGCGCCCCTTTAGTTTTCTCCCTTCACTGCAACCAGTTCTGGCCCCTGCCAATTTTTAAGCTTAGGTGCGATTTCCACCAACCAATTCGCCGATTCTTGAGATACACAATCTATGAGGATCATGTCCACCCGAAAGTGTATCTCTGCAAAACGCAGCTGACCCACATTGTGTAGATCCGCTCGCCACTACTTCGTCCAGTATAGCCTCTTCTAGAGACGTCAGAGCAACCTCTGGGAAATTATTTGGCAGCACCGCTATTTCACTTGTCAAGCAATAGCGGCAAAGTTGGTGATAGGTCCCTGCTTGCCTCCCGGTGTTGCACGGCTTTCCATCTTGGCTTTTTTCTCTCCCTGCCGGAGAATAGGTGAGAGGTTCTCGCTCCCTCTCTTGCCCTTTGATGGGGATGGGTCAGGTTGTTTCTTGGTTTCTTTACTCTCCCCTTTTCGCCAGACTGTTTTCGCTTTTGCTTCCTCTGCAGCAAGTCCTTCGTGGAGCAGTCGGAGGTATCTCCGTGCTTCTGATCCGCTAAGACCTACTCTCAGAGAATCGTCTAGCCCGCCTGGTTGACCCAGACCGGGTAAACGAAACGGTAGCTTGTGTCGCTTATTGGGTCTAGAGGTAGGCTCCCGACCCTTGCTGGTGAAGGTGGTAGCTTGTGTGCCACTTGTGGAGGATGATACCTAACCCAAGCAAGTGTCAGCCGCCTCTTTTCTAGTTTCTTTTGGATTTGGTCCCTTGGAACTTTTATTTGTAATGTTCCCAGTGTCGCTAGGGGGCTTCCCCACAGCTTCACTGGTAGTGTTTTTAATGCTAGATCTCATAGTGTTCCCACGAGTCGCTAGGGATAGTCGGTTCACTGCTACAGTCTAGTCTTCTATCTACCTACGCATCCCTTTGATCTGGTCCCGCCATCGTAGCATTCAGGTTTTTGGTGAGGTTGTCTCTTCTTTGTCCAGGCGGTTAAGCCACATGACCACAGTCAGTAGAGGGCGCCTGGTATGACGGACAGGGGTAGCCTCGTCCGGCATCGTTATATGTCTTGGTGCAATTCCCTGGCTACAACATTACAGCCAGGGATAAGACGATGAGTGAGATACTTGTTAGACCAAGCCAGGCGCTAGGGGGATTCCCCCCAGCACCTGACCAGGAGCCTCCCCACCAACGACAATGTCTTGCATCTCCTAACGGAAGTATTACATACCCCGCTGGTCGTCCAATTTATGTTTGGATTTTAATAAGTGTGACAGGGAATAATATAATTTTTAATAAAACATGTATTATAATTTAACTCTTTATGTAAAAACATGTATATTTTAAAATTAAATAAAAAATTTATTTCAAGGATGAGTTTTTGGCTAAACTTAAGAAAGAAAGGAACTCCGTGTACGAAGAGAAATTGAAAGAATTCGAAAAACTGTTGGCGGAGGAACGGGCAAAGCGGCACGCCGAATGCAGGGCCAAACGAAAGGAAGAAAGAAGAGCTAAATGGCTTAAGGAGAAACAAGAGGAAGAAGAACGCAAACGCGAAGAGCAAATAAAGTTAGTAGCAACAATTCGCTATTTAAACAATAAACAATATACATACCATAATTAAGTCGTGTGTCGTCCGTTTTTGTTTTTATGCAAAGTGAAATAACGTCAAAACCAAAATAGAAAAATAATATACAATATTTCCACAAATTACAAATTCTAAATTCTAGCCCTGCGCATTTCACAATATTTACATACTAAAGTAATATTCCATACCATATGGCTCTTACTGCAGCAACAACTTTTTAAGACCCTGTTTAAACAGTTTTTGATTTGGTGCCTGTTTTAAATCGTTATTTAAAAAAAATTATAAAACTCACCTTTATTTTTCTCCCAGACTCCGAAAATCAAATAATATATAGGGTGTTCCATGACAAAAAACAACTTTGATATGTAAATTTTTTTGAGGACACCCTGTAGAGCTTCCTATATTTTTAAAAGTGCTCTAAATTAACCTACATATGTTCACAAAATTTCATTTCAATATAAACTGTCGTTCTCCTTGGAGCTTCCGCGGTGTATGAGAGGCGCCACCCTGTATACTACTGAAATGAAGATAATATATCTAAATATAATATAATGTAAGCTAAATATAATATATTACAGATGTAGTAAAATGAGTAGCTAATAGTGAAAAATAAAGTTCCAACCCTGGATGCAAGATTTTGCGTAAACGCCTACTTGAGACTGTGCCGTTTGAAATTTTGATGATTCAAAATCCGGCAATACCGTATAGAAGAAATGTATCGACCCAATTTTTATATCTTTTTAATACATTTGATTGTTCATTCATGATAGAGGCACGTAAAATCTTCTTAAGTCCTATGGTTTTTCTGCAATTTTATTAGTTCAGTCATTGGGGATTTGTGCTTGGAAAAAAGTCCGGAAGTTTTGAAACTTTGCAGATTTATAGGTTTTGGGGTCCCTAACTAAAATCCATAAAATGCACATTTCCAGACTTGCCGGCGCGGCGCTGCCATCTTGCCAAGATGGCGCCCAAAATCGGTATTTTGTAAATATCTCGAAAACTATGCGTTTTCCGCAAAAATTTGAAGATATCAAAATTAAAGAGAATAAAATTTCCTATAAAAAAGGTTCTATGAAAATTTTCGCTAAAGTCAACCGTTTAGGCACAAAATCCCTGGATATTTTACAATTTTGCGTAAAATATGATACCTATATGTATAGTCGATTTTCCGAAATCAAATATCGATTAGGGTTCACTAAAACTAGTTTTTAATTATTTCATTAATTTATGAATAATTAATTTGAATTATTGAAAATGTGTATTTGTTTCCACACCAACCCAAGAGGTAAAGTACATGCCGCGTTTATTTTAACGTGGTCTCCCGGAGGCCTACTCCACTAGGTAAAGACTTTAACTTATCTGCACAAGCCCGACGGATCTGGCTCATTGATATCAAAGTCGATCGTGTCTGCTGTGCTGAGCTCATCAGGGTGGTCTCTCAATTCGTCCAACTTCTCATCATCAGATTTGTCGAGTGACACTTCAGTGATGTTGTCACAGGATTTCCCATTGCAGTATGCACAAAAACATTTTAATCCTGCTTTTCTGCATCCGCAGGCTTTACCACAGTTGTTGGTTTTGCATTTATAGGATAAAAATGCCAATAGGGATTTTGGAGCTGGATCTGTCAACGTTGTGACTGGATTAATGCCTGTTTTTGTTTTCTTCCAATCCCATTCTTCGGCACCTTTGGTACAACCAGGCCAATGCTGAACCTGGTGGTAAGTTCGCAATGAATGCTGTCCAGTACAACAATTAATTATTCATAAATTTAATGAGCGAATTAATGATACGCCACTGTTTCATGACAAAATTGAAGAAACTAAACTAAAACTAGTTTTAGTGAACCCTAATCGACATTTGATTTCGGAAAATCGACTATATATAGTTTAGGCAAAATTGTAAAATTTCCAGGGATTTTGTGCCTAAACGGTTGACTTTAACGAAAATTTTCATAGAGCCTTTTTTATAGGAAATTTTATTCTCTTTAATTTTGCTTTCTTCAAATTTTTGCGAAAAACTCATAGTTTTCGAGATATTTACAAAACACCGATGTTGGGCATCATCTTGGCAAGATGGCGGCGCCGCGCCGGCGGCAAGTCTGGGAATGTGCATTTTATGGATTTTAGTTAGGGACCCCAAAACCTATAAACCTGCAAAGTTTCAAAACTTCCGGACTTTTTTCCAAGCAGGCCCCTTTTTTGATCCCCAATGACTGAACTATATGGGTTTATCTCAAAAATGACAGACCATAGTTTGTAAAAATTGTCATTTTTGAAAGTTCATGTATATTTTTGAACATAATAGATGTAAAATCAAAATCTGAACAGTTTTTTCTTTGATGCTTTGAAGTAATATGTGTTTTAAACACACCTTGTTTAGAAGATTATATCTAAATTATATTATTGTATCCAATTATTAATTACGTTTTTGTGACATAATTGTCGTATTCCCTCAAGTTGCTAGAATGTTGGGTACCATTTACCTTTATGTTTTTAAAGGCGCGAAGAACTAGAACGCATCGCTCGAGAAGAGAGGGAACGTCAGGAACAAGAAGAACGCGAACGACAGGAAAAAGAAGAAAAGGAACGTGCCGACAGACAAAGACAAGAGATGCTTGATCGTGTTGCCGCGAAACAACGGGCTAGGGAAGAAGAAATAGGTTAGTATTTAGTTAGTTAGTTTTTATCCTTAAAAGTTGCATTTTATTACTTTTTAATGGTGTTAAGCTTCATTCAGAACCTGCCAATTAGTGGAGTAAATTAGTGGTTTCAATTACACTTTATACTTTTTAATTTACGATCATTCACAATGTCTAAAAAACACAATTAAAATTAATAAAATATCTGAGCAACAGCTTGCGGTAGTCTGTTGTATCCATAGAGAAAGCATAATATTTAGCTTATAAAGCTTTTGATTTCTAACCAAAATTTTTCTTGACGGGTGATAATCCAAGGCCGTAATGACATTCCTCGCAAATTTTGAAGTATAATTACTGGAAAAGTCAAACGTTTGTTAACTTTTTCCACTAATTGTAAATTACTACCACTAATTATAACCATAAAATAATTAACTAGAAAGAAGTGTCAACTCTGTGTTAAATCGTGGAAACACGATACGCCACCGAAAGCCTTCGTTGTCGTCTGGAGAACTAATTTTCCAATTGACAGGTTGACATGATAAGGACATGATGGCTTAATTTTCATTTCCGTTTCCGGTTAGTCAATGGCGGGCCTCCGCTTTCAGTTCAAATGTATTTTGTATTTTTTCTTTTCATAAATAAAACCAAAAAATAATTTATTCACATATATTTATTTGAAATATGGAACAACGTGACTAAATAAATATAAAAATATAGAGGATTGTATTGTTTCAATACCAATTAGTTAATTATATGTACTTTTAACGTTAATTAGTTAAGGTATAAGCATGGCTTACAGTAATTTGTAAATAAACACACGTATTCGCAGACTTCAAGAACAGAAAACGGACACAAGAACATGAAAACGGGAGCCTTATACAAAAACCTGAAAACAGAAAAACAAATTTTTTTATACTAAAATTAACAATGTAAAAATATCAATAGGTATAAAATATAAATATACTGTTTAAAAAAGCGTCCATTATTCCCAAAGAGACCTGGCTTATAAATCAAAAAGAAGCAAAAAGAGACTTTTAGTCGGATAATATAATCAGATTATCAGTCCGATTATTGACAATAAATCGCACATACTGGAGATAACTAATGTTGGCAATAGTTAAAAATGATCTTACCTTGCTGTAAATTGTTTCCATTTTCAAAAAAATCGCCGATCAAAGAGATTATAACACCATTTTCTTGCATCTAAAAAATGTAAAAACAGTGTTTATTTACTACCTATTTTTCATATACATGGAACATACCTACTACTGCAGAAACGTCATTTTCTCCAGGATTCTTCATGTAATATATATTTTATATACTTTATTACCTTTATATTTATAAATTTCACCCGAAATATTAAATTGAACTTCCAAAACGAAACTAAACGGAATGAATTAAAATGGCGTCGAATATTTTCGAATTTGTTCTAGAACAAATCTGAAGTTGTCTCTAAAACTGAAATCTGTCAATTCTAAACTGTGAAGTTAGACAATAGTTAGACAAAAACAATGCTGTCCTTGTCTAAGCGGCCATACTTGTCGTGAGGAGAATGACAAGAATGACACTAATGACTGTTTCCAATTTTCCTATTTCACTGTCACCCCCCTGATTATGACGTTCTGAATGCTTACATTAAAATTAGGTGAACAAACTTCGACGACTAATTGAAACTACTAATTTATTCCACTGATTTCGATGTTCTAAATGAAGCTTTACACTATAAAATCTGTGATGGAGATATAAAAAGTCCAGAATGACGTGCAATAAAAATAGCTGCATATTTTATTATTTCTTAACGTTTTACACGACTCATAGGACCATATACACTTCATACCAAATAAACTTTAGTCACGTGATTAAGCTTGACCGGCACAGCGTTGCCCACTTTTATATATTTTCTTTTAATCAGATTATTTTAGGATATTTTCTAAAGTCCGGAGTGCCATGGCTGTGTTAAAAACACTAACTTTTAATCAAAGAGCCTTGGAAAAATAGATTTGATTGTCTAATGTTTTTCGTGTCTTATACTGGTTGGTTGAAAGATGCTAAAATCGTGTTTTTTGTCATATATAATTTTTTTCAAATAGAACGGGGATGGCTCATTAGCATATTTGGAAAAATCATTTTTTACGAAGTTGCCATACGCCATTCTATTCAGAGTGTCATTTTCTATCAAATAAAGTAAAAAAAAATTCTTTATTCCGGTAAAACATATACAAGGTGTTTCAAAAAACGTGCCATCTCTCGTTGGGAGATTCCTCATGTAAAAATAAGATTTATTTTTCATATCGACATAGGTCCGATTCTGCTTTGTTTCGTAGCTACAGGGTGTTAAACTCTCGTCTTTTTTCGATTTATTATAATTTTCCAAGTACTTTTAGCGTTTCGAATGAAATTTTGACGGTGGAAGTTTAAAGAAAAAGAAAATAAGGTTTTATTTGAAATTGCTGTAAGTTGGACTAATAGTAATAATATTTAATAATAAATTAGGTAAAATAAATAATTTATTAATTTTATTTTTATTTTAATTTTATTAATTGTGATTAATAGTATTGCGTTTATCTCATCAAGGAGGCCGAAATCGACAAAATATCAAGAGATAATTTTTAACTGGCATTAAACTACTTACACAATTTTGATATCAAAAGAAAAAAGTCAGTGGCGCAGTTTTTTTTTGAAACATATTCCAGTGATAACCCATATGCACGTCCCTGATGAATTTATCGACATTTTTTTAGCATTAAAATATGTATCACTTACAGTAACTTTTGCTCTCAAAATTTCATTCGAATCACTAAAAGTACTTGAAAGAAAATTATAGTAAATGGAAAGATTATTAAGACTTTAACACCCTGTAGCTACGAAACAAAGCAGAATGGGACCTATGTTGATATGAAAAATAAATCTTATTTTTACGTGAGGAATCTCCCCCACGAGAGATGGCACATGTTTTTTGAAACACCCTGTATATACACCGGTATACATTTCCGGTGAAACAGGAAGTGACTGAAAACAATTGAATACGTCAATCAATCCAAATTTATATAAAAAAATTATATGGGTGGGACACTTTTAAGACGCACCCGGTATAGACAATTAAATTTACAAAGAAAAACATTTTCTTATTCATATATCGAGACTAATAAAAATTTGGAAAGAATAATTGAAGAGGTGGCCACAATAACCAGGCAGCTCATATTTTAATAAATTTGTGGGAAATCGAAAAAGAGCTGCTCGGTTCTTGCTGTAAACCCAGAGGCGCGCCGCTTACCCTGACGAGCCGCCACTGGAAGGGATAGCATAAAGATGTAACGCCTGATTAATTTCGACGGTGTCGCCGCTGTCTTGCGCAGTAAAGTGAAAGCTGGGATCCCAATTATTTATGCTATTTTTATTTTAATATTTCGCCAATTTCTGCTTATCATGTTTTGATTTGCACTGCACGCCATTGCGTAGTGCGTCAAGTTTAAAATTAATATAGCTATTTATGTAACAAGTTGCGAAATGAATGTGTTTTATTTGTGTGCAATTTTGCGTCCCGTACTTAAAGCACTCTTTTCGCAACGAATTTCATACAAGATTTTTTGTGAAAGCGGATAATTTGAGATATTCGTGCTATTATTATTATTTATTTTTAAACATTTTTTAAAATGTTCTGGTAATCGGTTTCTAAGGCATTGTTTAATGACAAAGTTCTGTCAGGTTCAAACGTCGCCGTATTTCCTACAAACTTTTGTGAAAAAATGAGTGATAATGACGAGTCTTTGGATATTCAACAAGCTGCTGAAACTGCGCTATCCACGTTAGTGCCCGAGAAGTCGACAAACTTATATGAGACCACCTACAACAACTTTGAAACATGGATCAATTTATTTTTAGGCACTATTGCCAAAAGAAGTGTCACTTTTAGATACTAGTGCCTAAAAGAATGTCATTTCGAATCTCAAACAAATATCAAAAACTGTCAATTTGGAAACGCTTTCACAAAAAGTTATTTTGAATATCTTAATTTTCGATTTTTTTTTTAATTTTAGATCGCAAATTATCGGAACAAAAGGAAAAGGAAAAGGAAAGGGAAAAACCCAGTGCGGACGTCTGGAGGAACGACAAAGAGAAAAAGCCAGACGCGGGATCGTGGCGATCAGACCGCGTGTCCGATATTAAAAACCGGTCGGACGATCGAAGATCTGACGACCGGAGGTCTGACGAGAAGAAGCCCGAAATTTGGACATCAAGTAAGTTTCAATTCGTTTTAATATGTTCTTTTTAAAGTATAATTATTAAAAAATGTCTATACTCTATACCTATGTGGCGGGTCTACAGTTAACTTTCCCTCTATTTTTCCTCCACGTCATTTCAAAAGACAAAACACGTAAAAACACAAATCAAAATGCATCATCTTCCAAAACGCAGGGTATTTGACATAAATTGACACAAAATTATAACATATAATTTGGCAAGACTTTGACAAGCCTCAAAAATCTAAAGGCGAGTTCATACGCATCGGCGTCCGCTTGTCGTTCATCGTTCCGTCAAACAAATAAAATTGAAATATGATCTGTCATTTTTGAAATAAACCAATAAAACTGGTTTGGCCTAGTTTTTTTTAAAACCTAATTGTAACTGTATTGTATAACTAAATAACTGTATAACTAAATAACTGTATTGTCTTTAAAACCTAGTTGTAACTGGTTAAACAAGAGATGACGCATGACGGATTTATATTTAAACCCATCCATAGTTAACTTAGGAAATATTAGAAACTTTTTTTTAGTAAAATAAATAGATTGGTATGGGACGCCATCTGCTTTTCTGAGAATCTTACTTGAGAAAAAAAAACAGTATATAATCGCACGATGCACAGTGGTTCCCAGATAGGTCATTACTTAGAAATATTAATTTCAAAATGTTTGTGCATGAAACTGTTGCTAATACTTTTCTTATATTCCCCTGTAAACGATACATAATAAATAACAAAATCAAGTAAGCCTAGTGTAGCGCTTTTTTTTATTAGAAATGTCACATTTTTGCTACTGGTTAGGTTAGGTTAGGTTTATCAAGATGACATAAACAGTTTTCAGATAACGCCAATTAATTACTTATTTTATTAAAATTGATAAAAGCTGTTGCCTTTTCTGTAATGGACGTTCGAAAAGAAGGTAAAAAGAACTGTTTTTTCTGTTTTGCACTTAATTAAACCTAAGTAATATTAATTTATGGCAATTTATTTGAAGACAACAAAAATAGTATTTTTACATTTTTGCTTGCCACTCTTTAAGACTTTTAACTACTTTTCCTTTCAAATCCTCTTAAACGGCATGATAATACTTGTTGCTTAAAGTATATTGCATATAAATTAATTGCCACTGGCTGCCGCGAATTGCCGCCGGATCTTATACCGGGTGGTTAAAGATTGACTTTTTGTCTTCAAATAAAAGTAACTTATTTTTCCTCTTCATGCCTTGTTTTTTTTTTTGTGGGGAAAAATCTGCAAACCAGAGACCGTATGTGGTACTGTCGTACTGTCGGGGTGGTTGAGGTACCTTACCGACTAAAAAATTTCCACAAGCCGCTTTGAATATCTCCCCGAGGAACTACCTTTCGGCATTACTTCTCGAGGAGGCGGTTTTACTGCGATGTTTTAGTTACTTCGTCTAGCTTCTTTCTCTTTTGCATCTATTAGTGTCTCCATAAAAGTGTTAACACTATTCCAATTTTCTGGGGATCGAATCATCTCTGGAACTAGATCGGAAATCTTAATTTTTGGGACTCTTAGTTTTTCGTATAGAACTCTTCATTCAGCTGTCCATCGTTTACATTCCAAAAGGGTATGCTCCACCGTGTCAGCATCAGAGTCGCCATAGAGACATCTCGGGCTATCAGCTAACTTTATTTTATGTAGGTAATACCTGAAACAACCGTGGCCAGAAAGGAATTGACTCATGGCATAGTTCATTTCTCTATATTCTCTATTTATCCAACACTCTAGGTTCTTTATAAGTGTTCTAGTCCATTTACCTTTCCCATTTCTGTTTTGACTCGCATCTTTTACACCATATTTCCAGAACTCTATTTCGACTTTCTTCCGCCGTTCTTCCTGAATGTTCTTGCCTTTCCATTCTTTCTTCAATTACTATGTCTATTGGGGCCATTGAGCTCATAACTTGTGCAGCCTCCGCAGATATTGTCCTGTATCCACGACATACTCTTATGGCCAATCTTCGTTGCACTGCAAGAGGTTTCTCTCTATGACTCCGAACTTTGCAGGTTTCTCCCCAAATTTCGGATCCATACAAAATTGTAGCAAGCATCTACAATACAGCTAGCACTCGGCGTTTCGTTTGACCCAAGGTAGACCAGTTTGGCATAATTCTGGATAACATGGCCCCCTGTTTTTCTGCTTTCAAAACTGTATGGCGGATATGCTCAGAAAAGCCTCCTCCCGCTTGGAAAACAATCCCCAAATATTTTATTGTTTTCTTTGGTACAATTACATTTTGTTTCACATGAAAACGTACACTGCGTGATTTTCGGTTACCAACCAAAATAACTGCCTCCGTTTTGTGCGGCGCTATTTCTAGTCCCACCTCATCCATCCGTGAGCACACCTGCTCCGATGCTCTTTCCGCAGTTCTAACGAGGTCTTCGGTACATTTAGCCTTTACCATCAGCGCAACATCATCTGCATATGCTATGACTTCTACTTCTGCTGGGTATTCCATACGAAGGAGTCCATCATACAGTACATTCCATAGTAAAGGACCCAGTATAGATCCCTGAGGTACACCTTTAGATACTTTAACTTCTGTATCCTCTACAATAACGCATCTTTCGCTTAGATAAGATTTTATATTTTCCACTAAATATAAACTTATTTTCCAATGATATTTAAGCTCATTGATTATATTTTCCCAGTTAGCCGAGTTGAAAGCATTTTTTACATCCAAGGTAATCAACATAAGGATATCTCTGTTTGACGAGCTAGTATTCTTTAGTACTCTAATTGCCTGAGACACTTTTTTGAGAGAATCGATTGTACTGATTTTTTTTCGGAACCCGTACTGCCTCTCATTTAAACCACCCTTTAGCTTTTTCAGTTTCCAATCGATCTTTTAAGACCATTTCTATTAATTTGACCATCGAGTCCAGCAGGCATATAGGTCGATAGCTACGTTTTCCACTTTCTTTCTGGGGTTTTTCTATTAACACCAGCTGGGCACGTTTCCACCTACTCGGAATAGATGCATTTCCAATAACATCATTGCAGATATCTACCAGCACATCAGGTCTTTCCTGAGCAACAATCTGAACTAACTCAACTGGAATGCCGTCTGGTCCAGGTGCCTTTCCTCTTTTTAGCCTCTTGACTGCGCTATCGACTTCAGTCATCGATATTTTGGGGAAGTCCACTATAGGAAATCTTTTCCAGTTCACATTCTCGCCCCTGAGAAACAGCTTTCTGGCTTCATTTCATTCTTCCTCTTCATGTCTACTTATTTCGTAGACACACTGTATATCAATTGACAATAAAATTGTATTTATAAAATGAAACAACTGTCTTTTTTATTTTTTCAACATTTAAAATAAATTTGACCTCTTCAATATGAAAAAACATGTACCATATGTGCAAAGATAATTGTATACCTTTCCGAATAGTTAGAACTTAAAATGCAAATCACACGAACTGGGCCCAATTTTTTTAATACATATTACATTAAGTTTTTTATATACATTTATTTAACATTTGTTATAAATTTCTATTAAAAAAGGTGCAGTCAAGCTATATCTAGATATCTAACAGTTATGACCGCGCAGCTAATTAAGGGGAACCACTGTGCGATGGTGCGTTTCTATGGACCGCGACTGCCGCGCGCATCAGGTTTTCGATGCCTGCGGGCAATGTAGGCCTTTCTGCCGCTTTGGCAGAAGTTTCTATTGGCCGTGGCAAGGATTGAAATTTGGTGAGCGCGGCAGCCGCGGTCACCAAAGTAGTTTTGCGTGATGTTTTTTTTTTACTTACGATGAAGTTACAATGTTTATCTCTTTGTGTTTCAGAACGCCGGGCTGCCGAAGATACTTGGAGAACAGATAACAACCGCGAACGTCCTGACGACGATAAGGGTAAGTCAATTATATGAAAAAAATAGATTAATGAAGCAGAATAATCATATCGTCGCCTTCCACACAAAGTGGCGTTTTTAGTTATCTCCCTCTATATTTTTAGTACACTCAGATGTAAAAAAAAACGCAACGGAATTTTTTTAGTCAAGTTTAAAGTGATATATTTTTATTTGTAGCCATATTTTCATGATTTTTTTAGCAAACTGTATATAAATCTATCAACTTTAATTCATACACTCAATATTTTGTAAACTTTAGTACTTGGCTGATTATACAGGGTTAATTGAAGGGTTGTTTTTTACCTTAACTTTAAAACACCCTGTGCAATAATTTCGTAAGCAACTTTTCCTTTTACTTTTCGATCAGAACCATGTCCTGAGCATTTTGTTTTTTGACTCATGTCAACACACATGCCTTGGTTATTTTTTAAGAGCGAAATGAACTTGCCACCAGCATTTAATTTTATTGCAGACAGAGACAGAGAAATATTGTTTAGGTTATTTGGTATATTGAACTTGCATATCGTCAGTGAAACGTGATAACCTGCTAACTCCATTTTTTACGTTAATAAGTTTTTTTATACCATTAGAAAGAGAAAAAAATACTCTATAAATAGGGAAAGCAAACACATTTTTTCCCATTAAAGATTTTTTTTTATTTTAACTCAATAATATCTGCTAACTCCTAGTGATCTGAAATAGCCACCGAAATGCTGCTATCTCCGTAATTTCCGTTACGATCACGCTAAAGCAAAAACCCAGATTCTTAGTTGTATGTTTTTTTAGTACAGTACGTCGATCCAGGGTCGCACTAGGCCAAAGGGGCCCGGGGGGCAATGTAAGGAGGTACCCGTGTGTTTTTTTTTGCGTATTTTTTCGCCTTACGTTTTGGTCAATTTTTCCCTATTATATACAGAGTGAGTCTTAAATAAGTGCAAATATTTGTAGGGTAGTATATTTCGATCCAAGAAACACGATTATGAGGTTTTTTGCGCGAAATTTTTTTTTGAAAAATGATAATATAAATATATGGTTATGAATATCATATTTTTTAAATTTAATTAATTATTTCTAAATCTGTTTGGCTAATATTCATTTCCATTTTCAAAATTTCAAACAATAAAGGTTGCTATCTCCAGAAGTATATTTTTATTTCTTATTTCTGCAAGACGAATATCTGCTATCTCCCTATTGTATCTGAAAAAAATTACGTAACACGAAATATTGAGTTTTATTGTTCCCCAGCAAATAAAATTCTTATCTCTTTATCATATTAACGCATCAAAATACTTCCTACATGTGTACATATTTTTTTGTACCGTTTTTTTGCTCTCCTGTAAAATTAGGAATAATGGAGTTAGCAGTTTATCACGTTTCACCGACGATATTTCAAATCTATAACAACTCTATAACAGCTAACCTGGTAAAGCTTAAGAAATTCATGTGTCTGTTTTTAGGTTATGAAAGGGACAGTGGGCACGGACAGGAGAAAAGAGACGGACGACCTTTCGAAAGAAACAAAGACAGTGGAGGTCGTTTTGAACGCAAAGAAAACCGGTAAGTAAATTTTAGTTATTTCATTTTAGGGCTCAGGGGCGCGCATACTCAGGTGGTCCTGCACCTACGAGAGGAAAACAGTGTGTGCGGAGCACCCACGAGCATAATCATCAAGACTAATCAATTTGGCAACTTTAAGTGACACTTATCTCATCTATAGTCTGTCCAACGACAAGATCCTTAACAGTGATAGATGTGTCTGTCATTTTAATTTCAAAGTAGTTTATTTTATTTTACAAAGAAATAAGTTGGTACAATTGGAACGCATAGCAGAAAATTAATGTATTTAAAATTTGAGTGACAAGTGATTACTTCAAAGTATTGTGTAACAAAAAACTGTATAAAACTGGAAAAATCTAATCAAATTATTTTATTAAAAAAAAGGTATGTGTTAATACAAAACAAACAAGAACAAAACACCATATACCAAAAAATATATATAAAAAAACTATTTCTTACTTTCAAAATAATAACTTTTTTCAATATAACTTGTGTATATGTACAAATACAAATTTGTAATATTCCACAGGACTATTTTATTAAATAATATTATTTCACAAACTATTTTATTAAATAATAACACATCGAATTTTTTACCTTAAATGTTGATTAATTAACTTTAATCTTATTTTTTTCAACCTGTACCTTTGGACATTATTTTTCTGCAAAAAAATCCATTATTTATTTATCGTGTGATGGTATTTTACAGCTACTCCAGTTTTTAGTATGTGTTTAGTAGGATCCTTGTACCATATACGAGATGCACTTATCTATTACGAGATGGTATACAAACTTTATTGGTGTATAAGACTTTCTGCCTGGGCAGCGAGTATTAACTATAAACTGTGTTCTAACAGTTAATTTTCTCTCGATTTTTCCTCCACTTGACTTCAAGAGACACAAAACATACATAATAACACGAATCAAAACGCCTCATCTTCCAAAACGCAGATATTTGATATAAGTTGACACAAAATTATAACCTATAATTTGGCAAGACTTTGACAAGCTTCAAAAATCTAAAGGCGAATTCATACGCATCGGCGTCAGTTTGTCTTTCATCGTTCCGTCAAACCAATAAAATTGAAATATGATCAATAATAAGTATATTGATATAAAATTGAAATAAACCAATAAAACTGGTTAAAAACAACAAGAGACGACGCATGACGGATTTATATTTAAACCCATCCATAGTTAACTTAAAAAATATTAGAACCTTTTTTTAGTAAAATAAATAGATTGTTATGGGACGTCATCTTCTGTCATCGTCTATCGAAATCTTACCTGAGAGAACAAAAACAGAGTATAGTTTAATAAAAAATTATAACATTTAAACGAAAAAAAATATTTGTAATTTGGATTTTTGTCAAGCTAAACGTAGCATTTTGCCGTGTGTGCGGCGCCTCTGTTAGGGTTTCCGAATTTGCTCTAATTATTTTATAAGCCAGAATTAATATTAACATATTCATTGACTTTTCAGAGACGATCGCAAACCTGAGGGTGGTTCGTCGTGGCGACAGGCCGCCCCTAGATCCAACGAAGATGCTCCGAGGCGAGGGTTGGGTCCATCGAGAGGCGCACCAATACGCGAGAGTGCTGGCACGCCGCGCAGAGAGGAACCTATAAAGAGAGCCGGCGGTGACGAGAAACGTCCACCTCCAAAAGAGAAGCGTAAGTGATCTTTTTGGCTATTTCTTTATCTGGCTTGGACGTTCAATAAAGTTGATTAAAATCAAAATGTAATTTTCTAAATCTAGATCTCTTAGATCTCATAAACTTCGTGGATAAGTAAATTCACTTCATTATTGTTGAAGTTTGTAAAACGGCCGCTAGGGGGCGCAACTGCTATGGAAAATAAGAATGTTGATCTAATAACAATTTGATAAAGGAAGTTTAAAACAAAAATCTAGTTATATTCCTATGATTTCTGGGGTTCCTCAGGGATCTATTCTGGGGCCACTTTTATTTTCGTTATATGTAGCTGACATGGATAAGGAATTACAGTTTTCTAAATTGCCGCATTATGCAGATGATTCTCAAATTTATTGCAAAATAGATACTAATAATTTGGCACAATTTCAGTTAAATTTGAACGACGATCTTAATAAAATTAATAAATATGCTCTGGATCATAATTTGAAATTAAATGCCGGTAAATCTTGTGTTATAGTATTTGGTAGTGATATAAACAAAATTACAAATACGGCTGGTAACATGAATATCCATATAGATAATGTTGCAATACCCATTGTTACAGAGACTAAAAATCTTGGAGTCTATTTTGATGCGAAGCTTTCTTTTCAGGCACATATAACTACTAAATTAAAGGCTGCTTATATACGTTTGAAGAATTTTTCGTCTCTTAAGAAATATATACCATCAAAGACTAAGTATCAGTTATGTGACACACTTATTTTATCTTTATTTGATTACGGCGATGTTGTTTATGGTACATCCATAAATGCTAGATTCTCTAGAAAAATCCAAATACTTCAAAACTCGTGTCTGCGGTTTACTTTTAACATTCCTTTTAGAGATCATATAACGCCACATCTTAAAAATTTATCTATTTTATCCATGACTAACAGACGACAATTTCATTTAATGACATTCATTTATCGAATTTTAACTACAGAGCAGCCTCCCTATTTGTTCTCATTGTTTCACTACGTTTACCATGATCATTCGACTAGGCAAGTGCATTATTTTAAAATTCCTCAACACCGAACAGCTAACTTCCAAAAATCTTTCAGTTTCATAGCGCCACATTTGTGGAATAATATTTCTAATAACTTTAAATTTCAATCCTTTACAGATTATAAAAAACAAATTAAAAATAATTTACTAAATTCGTAAGAATTATAATTTCGTCGACTGATTTGTGAGGTTCTTGTTCTTCTGATATGCCCGTCATTGGTTGCTGTTCCGGTTTTTACACTGTTTCGTTATGCCTCTCTGCTTTTCTCCGCTCATCCCTGATAAAATTATATTTTCACTTTTTTTTATCTAATTTTAATTTTTTTAATTTTGTTTATTTTTATAATTTAATTTATTTCTATTTTGTTTTTGGGGTTGCACCACTCTGGCCCTTTGTGTCATTGTATCGGTTTTTTAATCGCGGTGCGATCCCTTTAGACACACTTTTATTAATAATAATATTCTGTAAAATTTAATGGGGTCTAATAAAGAAATTTGAATTTGAATTTGATTTTTTTTTGTTGAAAAAAAAAACAAAGTGATTGGGCTGTTGTAGCTAATAGATAGCTTAATTAATTTGTATGTTATTTTTTTACCAATATAGTAATTTGTTTTGCAGCGCAAGATACGAAAACGCAATCCGAAGATGGCGGTGGATGGTCTACAGTGACACAAGGACGTCGTCGTTAATACTTTTTTATCCACAAATATCTGCCTTAATTCAATAAACAAGTTATGTTCTAAATAGATACAGAATATTTTTAACGTTAATTTTTAAATTTTTGGTGGTTATGAAAATAAGCAAAAATGTATTAGATTGCTTTATGTTTATCAGTTTATTTTAGCTACCTGATCCAGGCATATAATTTTTTAGTCCATATAAACATTTCAACAAGAACACTATCTTTTATTTTTTCTAGTTTTAAGAAAAAAATCTTCTTTGAACTATGTGTGGACGAAACCTAATCCTTCTGACTCCTATTTCAGTGAACGAACTGCATTTTTTAGATGTTTTTCTTATTACTGATATCAAATGGGAACTTTTATTTTATTTACCTTTCTAAAAACATAATAGATATATTCTATACTTATTCTCATAAAGAAGGTAAAAGATGCATTATTTAATTTTTTAACATAGGCGGCCGGTATAAATATAAGGTAATCAAAACAATCAAATAATATATTCCACATAAAATTGTGATTATTGGTTATTCCACGCCAGTTTCTGTGTGAAAAATGATTTCAGAAGTGGGATCAAAAATATAAATAATAGCTCTGATCAACAGCGTAACAGCGTGTTCTCTAAAAGCTGCACAAATTTGTTCTCATTGCAGTTTATCAAGATAACATGATGGAACGTAGGTTGATTAATGTTGAAAAGCAATAATAATGCATTTTTATTTTATTAATGAAAATAAGTATAGAGTATGTTATATTTTTAGTAGTGATGGGAAAAACCGATTAATTTCAATAATCGAGTACTCGAGTATCAAGCGATTGCAATAACCAATAAGTGATCACTCGAGCGAAATATCGCTCGTATTTAAAAATACGGTTTTTTGTCCGTCGCATGTTGTAAGTACTCGTCAACGCTAAGCGCCAAGCAGTAAGCTGCATGCGCAGGGCACATATTTTTTCGGTAATGAACGGCAAGTAGTAAGCGGCGAGCGATTCGCTTGATCTTGATCGCTTAATTTAGTTTATTTCGAAGCATTGTCGATGTAGGTCGTAAAATGTTGTCCCTCAGATACGCAACGGATAAATATACCGGGTGCGTCTCAAAAGTGGATCACCCCTATAACGTTTTTATTTTTTCAGATAAAACAACGAGATTTGGTATGTTAGTATATGACATAAATTAGGATTGATTGACATATTCAATTATTTTCGGTCACTTCCGGTTTCACCGGAAATGACTGCAACTTTTAATTTTTAAATCGCACTCTCGGTATTTTTTTACTTTATTCGGTAGAAAATGACACTCTGAATAGAATGGCATATCACATGTCAACTTTTGACATTTTCGCATATGGTTTATTTGAAATTGTAACGTGCGGTTCATAACGACAATTTGACTCGAAGTACCAAGTGTGTGATATCAAATTATGCGTAAAAAAATTCTTTTTCGAAATATGCTAATGAGCCACCCTTGTTCCATTTGAAAAAAAAATTGAGATATAATGAAAAATACGATTTGAGCATCTTTTAACCGGCCAGGGCAAGACACTAAAAATATAAGACGATCAAATCTATTTTTCCAAGGCTCCTTGATTAAAAATTAGTGTTTTTAACACAGCCATGGCACTCTAGATTGAAGTTTAAAATACAATTTGGTTTAAGCGAATATGTCAAAAGTTGACTATGATACGTCATTCTATTTAGAATGTAATTTTCTATCTAATAAATTAAAAAAATACCGAGGGTGCCATTTAAAAGTCAAAAATTGTAGTGATTTCCGGTAAAACAGGAAGTGACAGAAGACAATTGCATACGTCAATCAATCCTAATTTATGTCATACTAATATACCAAATCTCATTTTTTTAACTAAAAATATATTATACGGTGTCGTATAAATTTGCTACCTGCAATGTATGTAGAAAATTCGCTCGGCTTTTTATCGAGTATGTAACATTAAAATCAGATTTCAATTTATTTCATTCTAGGATCGCTTGCGTTCGTCGTTTGGTACTCGCGTCACTTGCATCGCTCGAATCACTAATTTTTAGACAGCCCGTAACAAAGCCATGCCTAGGAACCTATATAAGTGACAGGTTGTACACAATTACGCCATAGTCCATTACTAGACCCACGAGATTGCGCGACCGTTTGGTCGGGACAAAATGTATTGAATTTCCTATCTATTTTATGTTATAGTATCTTATCTATGAACAAAGCAAACCAAATAAAAACAGGCAGGTGTCCCATAAAAAAAACATAAGCTTGGGTTATATTTCAAAAATGACAGCTCCCAGCAAAAAAACTATTTACGCCACTAGATTCTATGTGAAGAACTATGGGACTCAGTTTCCACATTTTCGACCAGTTAAACCGGCCGCCTATGTTAAAAAGTTAAGTAATGCATTTTTTTACGTTATTCATGAAAATAAGTATCAGTATAGTATATTTTTAGAAACCCCAACAAGACAAATAAAATGAAAAAATAATATACAGGGTAATCCATTAAAGAAACACATAAGTTTGGGTCATCATATTTCAATAATGAACTTCCAGCGAAAATCCAGTTACGTTACTCAGTTCTACGTGAAAATGTCTATGGGACTCATTTTTCACCTTTGGACTATGGGACACCCTGTACATATTTCTTCTCTGTTAAGAAATAGACCACCTTGTATATGAAAGATAAAAGCAACGCCAAGTTTTTTTTTAGTATTCCGGCAACCAGCAATTTCATTTATTATAATTCAAATAGTGCCATCTAGAGGAAGATAGCTTAACATATCATAATTCTCATTTTTATACTTTTTTAGGTATCTTGATTTCAAAAATAGAATATTTTAAATTTTTCAATAAAGGCGCTCATGGAATCGTGTAAAATCGGTTGTCAGTTGTCATCTCTGTCAGTAAAATTTCGTTCGCCGATTTTTGAGTGACGTTTATCGTGGACGGCTGTCAGGTTTGTTTGTATTCAACTTTACGAAAGGAGTCGTATTTAATTGAACCATAATTTCGATTATTTTCAACATTTTCACTCGTTGTCGCATAAAAATATAAGTGGTGTAGTGAGTATTTCTGAAGGTTTTATTCACAGTGTTTTTATTCAGAGATATCCGAATAAATATCTTTGAAAATGGTGTCAGGCGGGATGACCTGTGTGAAATATTTACTATTTTGCTTCAATTTGCTATTTGCGGTAAGTTGTTTTAAGATGGAAACATAGTATTTAATATTTTAAATAAAATACGTTTTCTATTAGATTTCATAGCTGTAAATTGTATGCAATTTTAATTTAAGAATTGCATTTTTTGCCCAAGTTGAACTGAACAATTTTATAACCAATTAGAATACCTTACCGTTTTAAAATCAATGTTTTTATATAGAGTGTGCCAGGCTTGAACATTTACTGTGATGTTATAAGTATTTACAATTATTTATTATTTACTACTATTTATATCAGTCAATTTATCATTAAGTGACCTTTAATTGCATGCAGAACTAGATATGCAAGATGCAAGATAGGCACTAGCTGACGATTAAAATATTATCTAGAATAGTTTGAAAATAAGGAAGATCAAACCATTATCAGTAAATCAGAACCTCATTCCTTTAAATATAAGGAGATAAAAAGTACCTAGGCCTAGGTACCTACTAAAAATTTTCTTAACCATTTGAACTTAACTTAGAACTTTACTGATCATAAATCAAATTTATTATTTAGTGTGTAATCTACACTCACGGGCACGAAAAACGGGCACCTCAACATTTTGATGTATTTTTTATAATAATAACATTAAAATAACAAAGATTATTATTGAGTAATTTTATAACAAACGGAAATAATTTATATTTTCGCACTTCCCTGTTTGATATTCAATCAGTTGATTTAGATAGATTGGATTTGCCGACTTTCTTTAACTTAAAAACCAAATTTCAGCTTAATATGCCGAATTTATGATTTAACCAATGTTTATTCAAGATAATGTTTATGTCAATTTTACGCATGTTTTATTTTTTATCTCGAAAACTATCAAAGAGAAGATAATATAAAAATGATGAGATATCAAAGTAGTTTTCAAAAATGTAATAATATACCGGGTGTTCCATTTAAAATAACAAAGATGCTACCACTTTTAGTAGTAAGATAGATAGATAGATATTTCTTTATTTATTTCCAATGTTTACAATAAAAACACATAAAATAGCCCAAACAGGCATGGAAACATTGTCAAATAAGAATATTTCACACCAAAATAATATAATTACAGTTAAGATAATACTACAATTAAACTAAGATCTTAACTAAGTAAAATAAGCAAATACATAGAAGAAATAAAAAACGATAGAATTAATATATACAAACAACAAATATTACACATTAGATATCAGACTTATAAACACAGCTTTATCGGATCTGTAAAATTCTTCTAACGAATAAAAGGCTTTCTTTGCTAGAAAGATTTTTAATGTGGCTTTTAACTTGTTTCTTGCCAAACCTCGAACACATTCGGGAAGGAAATTGTACATTTTTATTAATGAGAAATCAACATTTTTTGGCAAGAGGCAACACTATAATGCTGAAAATAATTTAGACAGATGGAGCAGACGCCTTTATGCAAAAACCCAAATTTTCAAAAAAATCCTATCACCGGTTCTCCATAAACGTCACCGTGAATCACCCTGTATATAATTATTAATTCTGCTCTATTATTGAATTTTTTTTTTCCAGATATCTGGTTTGGCAATATTGGTAGTCGGAGTAATCGCCCACGTTCATATTTATGCTCAGTATTCGAATTTCGTTTATCCAAGCTACCAACTCGCTCCAGTGATTCTGATCGCCGTCGGTGTCATTATTTTCCTGATTTCATTCTTCGGATGCTGTGGAGCCGTTAAAGAAAACCACTGTATGATTATAACTGTAAGTATTAAATATGTGCTCTGTAAGCTCTGTCTATGCTAGCTAGATGTTTTTCTCACATAGTTATTAAAACACTAAAAATAATACTACACACCTTCTATGGTTTCTTCTTCCTCTCCGCATTTACTGTCCTCCATTCACGCAGTCGTCACGTGATACTCTCCAATCAATTGAGTCATAAAGTTCAGAACTGTTCCGCGCCATATGGAGGCACCAGGCTATCGGGCACAGCTCCTTTCAGAACCGTTCTCGAGTAGCCCGGCGTAAAGCTCTGGAACTTGAAATTCGCGAATGGAGGACAGCAATTCTCAGGAGGACTCAGTAGTCGTCGTCGGAAATCTTCCATCTCACAAGGTTTACCGCCGCGCCGTGGGGCAGTTTCCAGTGATGACATCTACAATTATGCGAGCTGTAGCGCAGTCCTCACGATGTTGCCACGTCTCTTGCTGCTTGGCCTTGATAGTAGTTTCTATAACTTCCTTCAATGTGTTGATCGTCACAAGCGGTGGGTCATCTGCCACGGCCGCAGCCTCTCCCCTGGTTCCCTCTTCATGGTTGCCCACCACATTGCTGTGGCCTGGCATCCAGCAAAAGATGTCTATACCTGTGCCTCCTGTTTCCTTGTTGTCTGGTTCCATAGATTGGATTCCCTTAATCTTAGGGCTAATTACTGCAAATGCGCGGAAAACAAAAAATAATAAAGATAAGAAACACACATGGCATTATAACAACAGACAAACATGAAATTAGCAATGAAATACACAAATTCTACGAACAACTTTATCAGTATGTTATACTAAACAAAGATAGAGTACAAAAACATATTACAAATGTACAATCAGAGGACATACCAGAAATATCAACCACAGAAATTAAATACGCACTTCAACAAATAAAAAATGGCAAAAGCCTAGGAGAAGATCGTATTACACCTGAAATGCTGAAGATGGGCGGAAAACCATTAGTGGATGCCTTGGAAGTATTGTTAAATAAATGTCTCATGGAGGGTAAAATCCCGGACGCATAGAAAAACGCAGAAGTTGTGCTATTATACAAAAAAGGAGATTATACAAATATAGAGAATTATAGACCAATAAGCCTCCTCTCGCACCTATACAAGCTCTTCACTAGGATTATCAACAACCGACTGTCTACGAAACTATATTCCTATCAGCCAATAGAACAAACAGGCTTTCGAAGAGGTTTTAGTACCATCCATCATCTACAAACAATTAAAACAGTCATTGAAAAAACAACTGAATACAATATACCGCTACATTTGACCTTTGTAGACTGCCAGAAAGCCTTTGACAGCATCGAAACCTGGTCATTTCTAACTGCAATGGAAGACGCGAGAATTGATTCCAGATATTACTCCATTATTAAAAATATCTATGATAGTGCAACCTTCCAAGTCAAATTAGACTATGATCTCAAAACAGAAAAAATACCACTCTCTCCCAAGTTATTTACACTGGCACTGGAAAATGTCTTCAAGAAATTAGAATGGGAAAATAGAGGTCTAAACATCGATGGGGTACACCTTAGCCATCTTAGGTTCGCAGTCGATATTGTGTTGCTGAGCACCGACATTCAAGAACTGAACACCATGCTAAAGGAGCTAAATGACCAATCCCAGAAAATTGGCCTTAAAATGAACTTGAAGAAGACCAAGATAATGAGCAACAATATCTATAACATTATCGTAGACAACGTTATTATTGAAAACGTAGACCACCATATAATATATTATTTAGGTCATAAAATCAAGCTGGGTAAGGAAAACCAAAATACGGAGATAAACGCAGGATCCATTTGGCATGGGTAGCATTTGGAAATATTAGCGATATTTACAAGGATAAAAAGGTGTCCATCAACCTAAAGAAAAAGGCTTACGACAGCTGCATTCTACCTGTGCTTATGTATGGCTTAGAGACTATGGAAATTACCCGAAAAACAGCAGAACAACTACGAGTAGCACAAAGAGCCATGGAAAGAATCATGTTGGGAGTCACCATTAGGGAAAAAATACAGAACACCCACATACGTCAAAAAACAAAATTAATAGATGTTGTTAAAAGAGTGGCAAGTCTGAAGTGGCAATGGATAGGACATGTGGCAAGACAGGATCCATACCGATGGCCCCAAAAGTCATCCTATGGAGACCTAGGGGAACAGCAAGAAGTGTGGGCCGATCAAAAAAGAGATGGGTCGATGACGTCAGGGCAGTGGCGGGAAGACAACGGATAAGATTGGCTAGAGATCGCGAAGCGTGGAAAAACCTAGAAGAGGCCTATATCCAACACTGGATGGAACCAGGCTGAGAAAGAAGAAGAATCTGAGGGCACTCAAGCGGCCAGATCCTTCACGAGCCAGTCGATTGATTGCAAGTCCAGAATTACTTCTAGCGCTGTGTTGTTCCTTGCTCCAGTTGTGTCTAGAGCTGCTACTTTTGTGATACTTTTTCTATTAGACCTGAAAATAGTTTCTCTAGACTAAATCCTGTCGAAAAAGATACAGTTATTTGTTTTTTTTAGTTATTAAGTGTCTTTACAGGGCTATAATAGTATATAACTATAGTCATTTAATTTTGCAGTTCTCGATTCTTTTGGGAGTTATCTTTGCTGCTGAAATTGCTGCTGGAGTCATCGGATACATTAATCGTCACGAAGTTCAGGTTATGCTGGACACCAAACTGAATTCTACAATGTATAAGTACTACACTAGTACTGATATTAAGAAGACCTGGGATGTTGCTCAGCACGAGGTAAGTTTTAATTCATTTTTTCTTCGAAAATCAGTAGTGTAGATTAGGTAAATCAGCTCTATTGACTTATGCGATTTGAATCTTTACGTATTTACTAATTGACAAATAAGTTGAAAATGTCAGTCAATATTAGAATTTTGTAACGGATTTTTTTAAAGGACATGTATAGTTTTCAGCCTCAATCTTTATAAACTTGTTATCTGATGAATAAATTATTTCTATTGAACTAGTGCTTCTTTATGATCTAATTACGATGTTGTAATTAGATATTGGATTATCGACTAATTTTAGCGCTACTAGAATATTTACAGAGTTGAAAGTTAAATTCCATTTCTTTTATTTTTTACTAGTGTGTACCCGCGACTTCGTTCGCGTCGGATTAATCATTTGTAATGGTGATGATCAAGCAAAGCAAGAATTTCCATTAACATACAAACTAAGATAAAATTTTCTTACATTTATGTCAGCATGAGAAAAAACAATATGGCGATATTATTATATAACTTGGTATAATATTTGAGGGGTAGTTTCATATAACAAGGGTATACAACTCTTATGCAACTATTTTACACAGCGTTATATGACTATTACAAAACTGGTTTTATTGTGTATTACGTGGTCACATCTAAGAAACAGAACAATAAAAACATTTAATCATTTAGCGAGGTACAAGAGTATTTTATTTTTTACCGAAGAATATTAGGAGCAAATTATATTTTAAGCGTGTCGTAAAATTAATCTAGAGGATGTGGATTGTTAAAAAGAAGACTTTACCCGAAAATGGCGGGTAGAGCCAGAAGGTACAACAAATATGTAATATAAAAATCATTAATAGGATTTGAAAAGTAGGGACAATTTTTGTTGCGCCGAAAATTTTACTTGTAGATTATAGGTATGTATCTGGCAAAAAATTAAAGCGCTTTAATTTCGATTAAGGTTTACATAGAAATTTAAACAATAAAATAAAATAAAATTTTCAAAAATTCTTGTTTTTAATTTAATTAAACACTTTATTACTGTATGTGGGAATCTTATCACAAAATAGTTCTCAAAAATAACATTTTACAATTTATTTTGATGTTTTTAATTTTGCTTCATATAATGGCGGCCATAGGCCATACAAAAATTCTGCCTTAAACATGGCGAATTATAATGCAACCATTTTGTTATAAATGAATCTCCTAAATAAGTCTTTGTTGTAAAATAAAACGGTATAGGATAAATATCTATCATTACGCAGAATTTCCAGGCACTATAGAACTATTTTGGACATATTGAGATTTGTGACAAATAGATGTTGCCAAATCTCATTTCACTAGTATTTAAACTAACAAACATGATCAGATTTTCATGGATTCGTGCACGCAATGCATTTCATGCGTGCCCGACTAGTGAGCGGCAACCTAAGGACTTGGAAAAACAACAATAAAACAATACAAACATTACTACAGTAAAACTTTTACATCAACGTGACAACAATGCTTTGAAGAAGTCAGACAACCCGAGAGAATTCTCGGGATTATTTGCCGTAATTTCGAGGAGTTTTTTCTTACATGCTCTTTATAACTACCACTGGATTTGTTAACTTTTTTCCAACTTTGTCCAGAATTCATAATAGCTGTGATAGATTATACTCGTACGTAGATATTACTTTTGCAACAACAACAATAAATAACTAGGTATACCATTTAATTTAAAATGAGGTTATATTATACATTACCAGTGTTATAATTACAGCGAATGTATTTTGTTAATCACAATTTTATCATATAAGGCTATATAACTGGTGTTGTATACAGCACCGTAGTTTAACGCAATAAAACATTCTATCATACAACGTAATACAACTTTAATAAGACAAGTTTAAGTAACTATTATCTTGTGACTACTAGTTATATGAATATTATAGAACTCTTACATGGTGGGTATAAGAGTCTAATAAAATAATATGTTTGTTATCATATAGCATTGTCTCATTGAGTGTTATATCATACTAAAAGAAATTATCGTTTAATGCGTTATAGGATACGTTGTAAAAACCACTATAAAATAGTTTAATATGACAACTTTTATTAAAAAGCAGAATGGTCGAAACCAAACGCTTAATAAAATCAAGCAGTGCTTAAGACAACGCTATGCGACTGTACTTTTTATCTGTATACATATAGTATACTTAATCTGTGGTTACATTAATATTTATTTATTTCTGTAAATATAACTATAATAATTGATACCTTAGTGATATTCTTATAAATTAATATTTTTAACATCGCTCCGAAAAAATAAATATAAAAATAACTTTATTTCCGTTTATTTTGAAATCATACATTCACAATGACACAATTTTCTTTATATTTATAGATTTTGATAGGTGTACATAACTAAACTATAGCGTTGAAAGAATAAAATCGTTATTCTTTTATTATTTATATCGTAGCTTTTTTGATTGTGTGGCTTATAGTGTATTGTATAAATTCTTTATGAGGTAATGAATGTTATGTGGTGAAATCGATAATAGTATTTAGTAGATAGTTTTATTGTTTTATGTCTATTAAAAATGATAGAAGGAAATGTAACTTCTCTTCTAATAATGTTAAAAAACTGAATCTGAATATACGATATGTCATTCTACTCCTAATAGTGCGGGCGCTAGCTCATGTCTCGTGTGCAGTTATATGTCCCCTAAGTTTTTGCGCGGCGTTTAATTAAATATGTATAAGAGCTTAAAAACCAACTGGTCACACGCTCCAGATCGTGGTCGTATAGTCGCTATATTTAAAAATGGCCGACATGTTACTAATTTCTTATATATTTTAATATCTTCCTATAACAAACGGTCGCGATTTTAGCGTTAAAGGTTATTATACTCATTTTTTGACCGCAAACAAATTTTGTGAACACATATTTTTTAACTGTAGTTCTTTTGAGGAAAGTATAATTTAAAAATATGGAACCATGGCGCGTTTTTAAGCACTAATAAAAATTGGTTTCAAAATTATAAAAGTATATTTAAATGCTTAAGACTTATTCACAAAAAAACGCGCAACAAGTATAATTTTTCAAAGGCAAAAAATTAAGATGTTTAAGCAGAAAACTTACTAACTTATGTATGAGGGTTCTTGCACTGGTCTAAAACACTACTTCTACATTTACAAACTTGCTTGTAGTGTTGCAACCGGTTAAAGAATGAATAGCAGGTAAAGCTGTTAAAACATTAAGTGGTAATCTGCCATCAAACGAGTGAAGTGGAATATACCGCAACGTTTTTCCTACTCCAAAGGCAACATAAAGCTCTTTAAGTCCTGCACTTTTCCACTTCTGCAAGTAGTGTTGAAGTGCACTAACAAAAACATCAGTATCGGTAGAACAAATAACTACGTTCTTTACGTCAGTGTCAGGTGAGAAATATGGGTTAGCATTCTGTCATCCGCTTCTTCATGATCAGATTCCAACGTACGTTCTTCAATTCTGCCATTCTTTATACTGAAACACCTTGGCTGGCCATCTTTAACAACGCCACCCAGGTAAATGGGAATAGATGCAGTGACAGAATCTTTTTTCCGGGATACCCAATCAACAAAGTATGACTGCAATAATTCTTTTTTTTGACAGGAGGCCCAGTAAGCGTCAAAATCTACAGGAAGGGGTGTGTTGTCATTTGGTGCTCCATGTTCTACAGGGTGTTTCCGCGATCGCTTAGCCCTCTCAAATCCTTTCACGCTTTTTTCCTTGTAAACGTCAAAAACAATGTCAATGGCAGCCATTTTTAAATATGGCGACCAAATGGCTTGTCAATTACTCCTAGAGGAGCTTAACAAATCCCCGCAACAAAATTTATGGGACATACGACGGCACACGCGACATGGGATCCCACAAAACATCTCCCTTTAGAACTTCGTCTGTCATGTTAAGAAATGAAAGTAAATAATAAAGCGCCTCTCGTGTTTGTTCGCACTCAAAAAATTTCAATTAATGCCTGTATATATTTTTAATATATTTTTCAAATTTACATTTTTTTAATTGTAAAAAAGTAATATAATACATTTAAATGGAATATATTACATAACAATTATGTCAATTACAGGATTACAAGCTTGTTTTCTAACATTTTTTAAATAAAACGAATTATCAAATTTCAATATATGTATATTTGTCGTAGGTATGAAAAAAGTAAAATATAAAATGGACAAACGCTTACTTACATTGCAATAAAACTTCCACTTTTAGTTTTGCAATCCAAACGCAATATTTCTATTTCACAAATAAAAATATCCGACAACATTAAAATCACTGAAACTTCCGCGGCTGGCAACGAAAACTGAAAAATATAACGGCACTTTTTGTTTTGGACCTGCATATCAACATTACGCTGTACTATTATGTGTTTGTTGTTGAAATAATATAAAATATCTAATTATAACTTGTAAATTTTAGTATTTTAACATGATTTTAACTTGGATTTTAACTACTTTTGACAATAACTAACTTTTTATCAAGATGACATTTTAGACGGCAATTGACATATGTGTCATAATATTTTAATCTTAAATATGTATGTAATATAATTTAAATTACTATAATGCGACTTTATACTAAGAAAACATTTATACATTCACAAAATACAACAAAGTCTAATAATATAGTTTGAAAACAATGAATATTGAATTAAAATTGAAAAAGTTAAGCGCGACCACTTGTGTCAAAATTAGATGATTAAATTTTCGCAATTTTTACACCATTTGATGACCGGTGGCGCCTCTAGTGTTTGTTCGGGCGGTTGGTCTTTTACTCCCGCTTATGGCCATTAAAGAAATAGTTCTAAAGGGGGATGAAGGGGGGATGTTTTGTGCTAGCTCCTAAACTATAAGTCCTAAAAATCAAAAGGCGTTTCCATGGTAATATAATTTAGATTTCATTCTTTGAGGACACATATAGTCTATCCAACGAGAAGATCCTTGACAGTGATATATGTGTCTGTCATTTTAATTTCAAAGTAGTTT